GAGCTTAATGGACCAATCAGCGGGAACCAAACTACATATGAAAACCCAAAGAACTCTGATTGGCTGTCGTGTTCCCCCCAGAACTTGCCCCATATATATACCTATGTACATTTTGATAATACACACGTTGTTGCCGGTAAAATAGACGTTTCTTCACTCATCTGTCTTCTGCTGAGTGCTGTGGAATCGGAAGCGTTGATTACTCGAACCGTGTCATTTCCTTGTTGCAGCCAGTCGCGTATTACAAGTTTGGCACCCACGGCGGGACTCGAGAACGACTGCACATCCCACCTAAAGATGTCAGAATTTTCCAGTCCAGCAAAGGAATTTCCCCGGCTTTTCGGTCCGTTCGCCGAAGTACAGTCAATGCTGGAGACCGCGTCACCATACGAAAGAATCCCACCGCTCATGGCTCCGGAAAAATTCGTACCTGGGGAAGACTTTGACGTTTGGGAATCTCAGATATGACGNNNAGTTAGTAATGGACTTCGATCTTCCAGACGAGGTGGACACTCTTCTGGTGACCCTGAGGCGGAGACTAGCCGGACCAAAAACAGCATTCGAATACCGGGAGGAGTTTTATACGCGACAGCAGCGACAAGAGGAAAGTTTGATGGACTACATGGGGTCCGTACGGCGCCTTGCTCGATTGGCATACCCCACGTATACAGTCGAGGATCGTAATGCACACGTTCTGGATCGATTCCTTGCTGGGCTCCGAGAACCCGGCGTCGCAACGGACCCAAACGTATGTGCAAGTCTTCAAATATACAGTTATGAAGATTGCTTTCTGTTGTGGGCGCGTGAAGGCTGGGTTAACTCACACGTGTGATGCGTAAGCCGTTGGACGTAATCCAGCAATGCTTGATATGAAGTTTTGTGTGGGGAAATATACTCTCCGGGTAGACGGAGTGTGGCTCCTTATATCAGTTTGGCCGGCTTGCACTTGAGATCGTCTTTGATGGCATTTATTATGCCAAGCAGGACAAGTGGGAGTGCCTCCGTCCATGAAATGACGGACTGCGCACTAAGGGTAGCTTTAAGCTGTCGATGAAAACGCTCGACGAGGCCGTTAACGGCCGGGTGTAATGCTGTGGTACGTATACGTTGACACTGTAACATGGCCGTTAACGAATTGAATAATCTGGAATCAAATTGGAGCCGCGGTCTGTAGTCAACGTAGTAGGGCACCCGAAATTCGCTAACCAAAGCTCAACGAGCGCCTTGGTTACGGTTTCAGTCGGGACGTCGGTGATCGGAACTGCTTCTGGCCAACGCGTGAAATCATCTACGCTGGTCAGTAGGTAGGTAAAACCTTGCGATGGTGGTAACGGTTCCACTATATCTAAGTGTAAGTGACCGAACCTCGCATCGGGAGTGCCAAACGTACCAAGAGGGCTACTAGTGTGTCTGGTCACCTTCGATTTCTGGCACGGCAAACAGCAACCTGCCCAACTACGCACATCCTTGTGCATGGATTGCTATACATTATGCAGTGTATCGAAAACTGCTCTGTGTATCTGTACGGGTACTCAAGGACGAGGTGGGATGCGTAAAACGTCACACCAGATCGTGCCCTCGGAAGTGGTTTGTGGTAAAAGCTGAAGATTTAAGGAGGTCTTCAATGCGTTTTGCAAGTCCGAATCGGAATCTTGCAGTTTTAATATACGTGTCAAATTGAGCACATTATCAGAAACTACCGAAATGCGCGTGAGAGCATCAGCAACGACATTATCCATACCTGCAACATGTCGAATGTCAGTAGTAAATTCCGACACGTGGTCCAAGTGACGTATCTCTCGAGGAGATTATCTGTCACTAGAGGGCTTGAGAAAGTATGTGAGTGGCTTATGTTCAGCAAAGATGATGAACTCACGACCTTCTAGTGAATGACGAAAATGACGAACAGCCAGGTATGCTGTGAATAGTTTGCAACCGAATGTGCTGTAACTAATGGCTGCGTCTGAAAAACGTTATGAGTAGAAACCTAAAGATTGTCAGGCACTGTCCTTCCACTGTTGGAGGACTGCACCGGCCGCGAGGTCGGACGCATCTACTGCTAAAATTCGGTTTGCACCAGGGTCCTGATGTGCCACTAAAACAGTATTGGAGACTGCTAATATAATGGCATCGAAAGCCTGCTGTGCTGATGTGTTTAATTCGATAAGCTTGAGGTTTCCCCTGTGCAAGTCCGTAGGTGGAAGAAATATCTGGGCTCGTTGTTGAACGAACTCACGATAGTAGTTGAGGATAACTAAGAAACGACGTAGTTCGGTCGCTGTCATAGGTGAAGGCAAAGCGCGAATTGCGGCGATTTTGTCCTCAATCGGACGAACTCCTTGACGATCATTATCGTGACCTAAAAAAACTAATGATTCACGACCTAAATCGCACTTAGCGGCACTACCGGTAATAACATGTTGCTTTAGACATCAACAAAGTATGCGTAAGTGCACTTTGTGTTCAACGGCGTCCTTGCTTGCGACAAGTATGTCGTCTAAATACGAAAAAACGAAATCTAATCCGCGAAGAACCTCGTCGATGAAACGTTGAACCGTCTGTGCGGCTTTGCTTAATCCAAACGGCATACGAAGGAATTCGAAAACGCAAAACGGAGTGAAGACAGCGGTCTTAGGCACATCCACCGGGTCGACAGGTATTTGGTTATAAGCCCTAACCAAATCCATCTTATTAAAGATTGACCTACCCTTAAGACTAGCTTTTAAATCGTGGATGTGTGGGATCAGATAGCGGTCCGGGATGGTGGAACTATTGAATCCCAATAATACCCGCATGGACGCTATTCCACAGCAGCATTCTTAGGCACCATATGGAGTGGTGAGACCCGATGGATTTGCGATGGGTATATTATACAAGCCTTAAGCATTACGTTGAACTCCCGTTTGGCTAAAGCCAACTTGTCTGGAGGTAAACGACGTGCACGGCAATGTACGGATGGGCCGCGTGTGACGATTGTATGAGTAACCGGTGTGGTGATTGGTGGCAAAATTGTAAAAACTGGTTGAGAACAACCTTCTAACAAACTTTGCAACCCGAAATGTAGAACGTCGTTAAAGATGGGGCTAGGCCTAGGCTGTTATTTAATCAACGGCAGCAGAAACCTGAAAGTAGATCTGCTCAATGCAACGCAAACGTGCGATACAAAGCTCACCGTGGGGAATTGTGTCGGTGCACGCTTTTCGAGCTCATTAAAAGAACGGTAATAGTTAAAGCAAAAATTAATCCTGGAAATGTCCAGGCTGCTATATCTATTTAAGAAACTTTCCTTGGGAGATAGTTATCGCCAAATAATGGCGATAAATGCTAAATCTCGACGGTACACTTGATTGTGTCCGGTGGAGAAGGGTCCTTAAGTAAGAAATAAAAACATAGCGGCAGTTTAGCTACCTGATCGACAGGCTAAATAGCTACTTGATATCTGAACCTTGATGGTTCTGATAAGTACGCCGCGGTTGTGCAATCATGTCTTGATAATCCTCGATTGCGCATGACGGGTTGGAAACTGAACCCGTTCTGTTGCTAATCATCAGTGTGAAAGGGTTTCTGGTACGTGAGTTGATGATCACGACCAGCTTGAATGCATCTATCAGAAAACTTGGAGAAGAACGAGAGGCAAGAAAAGTAAGCTGCTGTTACTAAACTGTAGGCTGAAGAACCGCTTCAGTCCCATATGAAAGTTAGTCTTGTATATTGTTCAGTTTTTCTTTATGACAAATAAATCTTGTTTTCTGTTATTTATGAGGTACCACTCTTGCGCTCTTCAAGTCTTCATTTACAACTTATACTTACCCGCCGATAGAGCACGCATGGCTTGATTGGTTCGCATAGAAACCGGTTCAGGCGATGACCCTTGGTTGACTGGAGGCTACTGATTTTACCGAGTGAGCATTCCAACATCTCATTTGCTTCTCGTCTTGAAGTCTTGAAGTCATACTCGGGTTTGAGGCTTGCGCCCAATATTCCCAGTTCCGGATTTGTCTTCTTTTCTGCAGTTTGGTTCACGAGCTGAAAGGAATGTTGACGGAAATGGGAGCTGGCTCCAATATGGTGCCGCTGGGTTAAAGATGAATGCATCGAAAAAAGAAAAATTCTAGAGGAAAGCGAGGATGTGAGAGGAGGAGTGACAGGTGGAAGAGGGATAATGTGGGGATGTTCTTCAGAAGATAGAGGCCAATTAGGCCAGGGGGATGGTAAGCCCTAGGTGTAAGTCTCGCAGGGTTTTGAAGACCCTTTTGGAGGAGGAGTTTACGATCTCTGTTGGAAGTTTGTTCCATTCTGAGATGACCCTGTAAGTGAAGATGTTATAGCGGATGAAGGTTCTGGGCCGGTGTTTGAAGAGTTTTCTTGGGTGTCCCCTTAAGTGTTCCAGGCTAGAGCGTGTGAAGAAACGTTCACTTGGCCTGACATAAAGAGGTCCATTTAGAAGAAAAAGATCCCCTCTGATACGTCGTATATCTAGAGGGTATAGATTTAGCTGTTTTAGTCGGATAGGATAAGGGATTTCTGACAAGCCATGCACTAGTTCGTGGCCCTTCGCTGCACACGCTCTAGTGAGTTGCGGTCGAGAATGAGGTCAGAATGTGCGATTTGGTTGCCATATTCTATCATTGGGCGAATGTATGTTCTATAAAGGAAAGGGAATTCCTCTTTGGTTATAATTGAGAAAGGTCGTTTGATAAGGTTTAGAATACAAAAAGCGGTTTTACTGGCATTTTGGTTATGAAAAGAAAAGAAGAGTTTTGCTATTCAGCCAGAAACCAAGAATTTTGTGTTGGTTCACCAGTAAGATGCGGGTTGAACCGTTTATCCAGAAAGGTTGACCAGGAGCGTTACCAAAGGTCATGCTTACACAGTCGCCGACTGCATTTGGGATGCGTCTGTGCCCCAGATAGTGACATCATCCGTGTACATGGCAATCTCTATAGGGAGACGTTTATGGAGATCATTAATATAGAACAGAAATAGGATGGGACCTAGTACGAGCCTATAGCTAGTAGGCAAGTGTTGATCGCCTTTCTTATAAATAGGGATAACAGTTGCCCTCTTCCACTGTTGTGGAAGGGTTCCTGTGTCCAAGCATGTTTGAAAGAGATGGGCATATGTGGCAGCCAACACGTCCGCGGATTCTTTCAGTATACGGGAATGGATTTCATCCGGACCCATGGAGCTGAAAGGATTCATGCTTTTTAGTTGTTCTTCCACTTCTGAGACTGTTAAGGCAACGTGATCTAACGGGGATTGGTAGGTTAGGGGAGATTAGGATGACTGACTGGAGAGGCTATGCTAAAAGCGTGGTTGAAATGGGACCGGAACATTTTCGCCACTTCTGCAGATGAAGTGGCTGGGGTACCGTCAGATTTAGATAGAGCAAGGTCGGATGAAGTGTTTTGCCGGGTTTGTCGCATAAATTTGTACAGGACTGACCGGTTTGTTCGTGCCTTGGCAAAACTGCCGTTCNTCTGTTGGTTTCTCTGGAATTCTCGGATCCTTGCTTTGCCTAAATTGCGAATGCGGATGAAGCCATTGGCATCTTCCGTCAGACTCATCAATTTGTACCGAGCGAAGGACCGCGAACGTTCTTCTGAAAGATGACGGAAAGCACGCGGTAAGGGGTGTCTGTTTGAGGGATATTTACGGACGCGTGGCACCAGCAGATGGTCCGCTGAACGGATAGACTGCTCTATTGTGCTACTCAAGATGTTTACGTCACTTATCTGGTTGGTTTGTGGGGTATGGGCTTGGAGGAATGCCTCAGGTTGTTGAAGTTAGTCCTTTTAAAAGAACGANGGTGTCTGTTTGATGAAGATTTACGGACGCGGGGCACCAGCAGATGGTCTGCTGCGCGGGTACACCGCTCTATTGTGCTACTCAAGATGTTTACGTCACTTATCTGGTTGGTTTGTGGGGCATAGGCTTGGAGGAAATACCTCAAGTTGTTTAAGTTTGTCCTTTTCAAAGAACGAACCTCCCTAAGACACGGTGTAACGCATCTGGGCCAGCGGATTATGACATCGAAAGACAACACGAGATGATCACTCTTGCCCAAAGGGCAGTGCTGTTGGATTGTGTCTGTGAGGTGACCGTTACCTGTTATGACAAGGTCTAGCAATGAGGGGGCTTGCCCGTTTCTGAATCTCGTTGGGCTTTTGACATACTGATATCAGGACAGCTCTGTGAACAGGTTGAATAAAAACCTACCAAAAATGTATTATCCGGGGCGTGGTGTCTACGCTCATCTATTGCCGGAGCGTTGAAGTCTCCAGATATCAGAAGATGCACATTGGGGTGTATAGATCTTAAGCTTTTGAGGTGATCCATAAGGAGTTGTGATTCTAGCTCGCCACAAGAGGGTGAGCGGTAGACTACTCGTAGCAACAATGTATCAGGGGGATTGTCGTGCCTTGAGAGGTGAGAAGTTTGTCGTCGCTCGGTGGTCTATACACGAGAGGAGCATTACTGGCAATCAGCGGAGTTTGGGATCGCTGGCACCATTGTTACTTTTGAGGGCTTCCTTCCGCTGAGTTCGGGTGTGCAGTGGCTTGTCTGGGGAAATTCCCCGGACAAGGCTACACCGGGCGTGTTCGAAATTTTGCGTGAAGCGTCTCAGCTTGGAAAATACCTCAATTAATCGAACGGGAGGCTGCAAGATCGCGACAAAACGCGAGAAAAAAGGAGAAAATATCCAGCGGGAAAATCCTGAAGGTTGGGAAGGGTGGGAAACCAAACCTCTCGAGGTCTGCATAGTGACGAGATTTCACCCAGGTGAGTCAGCTAGCAGTCTGTTGCTGGTTTTGACCTGTTACACCCTGAGCCACATATAATTACTAGTTATTAGTT